GTCCATTCAGCAGGGCTGGGTGACAGCTTGTGCCTCCCCTGGGAATGAGGGTTCTTCAAGTATCTGATTGCTGCAGGATGCTGGCCACCACTCCTAGCAATACTGAAATATCTCTGATGACTATTGCTACCCTCCTACAGGTCAAACAGAGGCCCAAAGTGGGGGTGAGGAGGAAAGTTTATTGTTGTTTTTGCCCAAAGCTCCTTACAGCCCTTCTTTCTCCTCCACGCCTCTATCTCTCCAGCCCCAGACTTTTGTGGTCCCCCTGGGAGCTTGTATCTTTCTCTTAAGCAAACCCCTGCTGCTGGTCTTACTTTCTGGAGTCCATCCACACCACTGGTCACCATAGGAGCTGAAATTCTACTCGGCTCATTTCACTGCCCTTCTCAAACACCTTCAATGGCTCCCTACCACCCACAGCATAGAGTCCAAAGAACCAATTTTTTTTCACATGCAGGGGGACAGAGGCACCTTCTCTCCAGCCCCTGGGAGATACCTGTGTCCCTGAATACCTGCTACATTCTCTGGTCTCCTCACCTTGGCTCACACTGCTCTCCTGGCACTGAATGTCCTTGTCCTGGCAAAATCCCACCTGGCATTTAAGGCCGAGGGGTCATCTCCTCTAACAAGTCTGCCCTACTCCTCTGGCTGAAAGTGACCACTCCTTTTTCTGCATTCCTGTGCCACTGGGATAGTTTCCTCTAAACCCCACCACCAGCCCAGCATGTTCAGGCCTTCTAGAGACACTTCCATGCGCACATTCCTGTGCTTTCACTGCTCTCCCTTCTGCCTGCGTTCTCTTCCTTCTAGCCCCTTCTCCTCCCTTTATTCTTTCCAGTGTCAGCTTTGGGGTCATGTGCTGAGAAACTCTCCCTGACTTCCTCTCCCCACCTTCATTTTCATTTAGTACTTCTGGACCTCCCTTACCATCTTCTTGCTTACCTGCGACCGTAGTTTTCATGAAGCATTGGGACTCTGTCTGTCTGTCTGAAGAACATGATGAGCACAGAGCTTGGGGTGAGGAGGGAGGCTGCCCAGCTGGGTATGACCAGACAGTGCGGACTACGAGAGCTCAGGAGGCACAGGGGGCTTTGTCTCAATGAATATCAGGATGCAGATCCCTTTCCAAGCAGCATCTGTAGCCACAAGAGGCCCTCCCACAATCATCTCCCTGAGTTCTCTCAACATGTGAGTTAGGTACCTTCATCTCCTATTACCAGTAAGGAAGCTGAGGTTCTTTCAGTGGGAACCCACCCAATCAGTCATCAAGTGTTTACTGATCTGACCGCTGTGAGTGTGGGAGGCGCTGTGTCAGGGAGGGGGAACTGGGGATGCAGCAGTGAGCAGGAGAGACTACTAGTTCCTGCCCCTGGGACCCTCACTGGAGAAAGACGGTAAGCTAACGTTGAATTGTTTAATTATAATTGTTATACATTCTGTGGGGTGATGGGGTCATATAATGAGGGACTTGACTGAATCCCTAGGTCTCATTCCTCTTTCAACCTCTGCGCACCTGGGCTGCCTCCTCTTACCTAGCACTAGGCTGGAGCTTAACTACTTTCCACAATATTTACTGTCCTGTCCCTGCTGACAGCCTTAATGTATTCTGCAGATTAAACAATCCTAGCTCTGCCTTGAGCTGTACTTGGATTGGGCCATTAGACAACAGTGGAAGCCTGCCCTTGCTCCTGGTTTTAATTGAATAATTTACTGTAAATAGCCTCCCTTTCCTCCAGAGCCCAGGCTGGCTCGTTAGCCAAATGGAGGTGAGCAAGGGCTGCCTTTAATGGGATGCAAAAAAGAAATGAGCTGTCCAAATGAGCCGTTGTCCCAGCAGCATTGAATTAAATCAGAGAACCTCAAGGCTTTGTGTCTTTTTCGTAAACTAGCCCCTCCTGGTGAAGGAAGCTCAGCCTAGAGCCCTGCAGAACCAAGGCTGCCAGTGCCAGGGAGGGATTTCCAATGAATTAGAGAGGTCCTTGGGGTGGGGGAAAGGCGATGGGGTTTTGTTTGTTTGTTTGTTTTCCTGCTTACTCCTGCACATGGCCTTCCCACCTCTTTCACAGGGAAGGTAGCATCTGTGCCCTGAGACGTATGTCTCAACTCCTGTTTCCATGAGGAAGAACAGTCCCTCTTTGAGGTTACTGTGTGCCAAACACATGATGTGGTATAACATAGTAATATTATCTATTAGGGACTTTTGTGAGTGATCTCATTTAATCCTCATGATCCTGGGAGGCTGATGTGATTGAAGAAAATACCTTCATGGAGGTTGATGGTTTTCCCAACGCCATGTACTGATGAGGTACAGAGTTTGAATACAGACCTGTCAGACTCCCAAATTCAATTTTATTTTGCGACACCAGTAAGGACAGAGTATGGGGCAAAGAGGATACCTTGACTCCATTCTTGGCTCCCTGACATGCTGTGTAGCTTTGGAGGGATTCTGTTGAGTCCCTGCTCAACAGAATGAGTTTGGCTTAGGGCAGTGGGTGGCAGGTGGGGTGGGGTAGTTGCCAGGACAGTAGGCCATGGCAGCTTCCCTGAGGGCTGCATGCTGAAAGCAGGTTTTTCTAGAAAACTAGAATTTCATGTTTCTGGAATCAGCTTCTTAGAAATTCAGAACATCCGCTTGCATTCAGGCTTCTGCACATGACAGCTCTCCCTCTGGGTCTAGACCCAGAGGCTCCCCCAATATTCTAGGGTGTGCTTTACCGCGTCACAGAATCCCGACTGGCTCACACTCGAGAGGACCTTAAACTTCCTTATTGTCTCTGTCTTCTCACCTGCTTAAATCTTTAGTTCCCTCTTTAACTGTTCTTCTCTGTTCCCTTTTTGATATGTCTGACTAAAGAACCAAAAAAGTAATACCAATTTCTCCAAGTGAAAGCTATGATGTGCTCAGAGAGTGTGAACAAGCAGGCCTTATTCTACCACTGTCTTCATCGTGGGGAAGAAAAGAGGACGGTGTAACTTACTTGGAGAAGTTGGTATTACCTTTTTTGGTTCTTTAGTCAGACATATCAAAAAGGGAACAGATACCTCGTTTTGTTATTTCTAGCTTTTTTTTCTTTTGTGTCATACTTTTCAAACCAGTGACTCACTGGATTCCCAAAATATATTTTCTCAGTAATGATGATAATGATAGAGATAACAATGCCGATCCCAGTGACGCACGCTGTCATTGTACTAGATGCTTGACGGCTTTATCTTGTTCTCTGCATCTCCACTATCTGATCGAGGGGCTGAGCGCATGGCAGACTTGCAGGACATGATAATAGTAATAACAGCTTCTATTTATTTAGCTCTCATCTCTATTCCTTATCTCATGTCATTGTTACAAAGTTCTGTAAAATAAGTAGTCTCAGTTATAGATGAAGAATTAGGGCTCAGTATAAAGGTATTAAAAATCACTTCACTCATTCTTTCAATGGGCACATAGGCTGCTTGCTAAGTGTTTGGCTTTTGGCTGTGTTGAGACCACAGGTGGTTCTTGCCCTTAAGGAACTCACAGTCTAATGGGGCCCACAGTGACTGTGAGTCTGTGGAATTGTTTAAAGCCCTATTTCATTCTTGGCTCCTGCCTCCTCATACTTTTTAGACTGATGCATTCAATTTTTTTTTTATTCCAAGCATCATAAGGGGCTCTTTATGTCCAGCCACATCACTATTAATTAAAGTCCTCCTCCGTTCTTTTTCATAAGGGTCACTTGTAATCACAGAGTAAGAGTTTGATTCTTTTGGTCTTGTCTTTCCCACCTCCACTGTATCCTTCCACAAGTTCCTACTTGTGTTTTCCCTAAATGTCTTAAAATCTGTTGTCATCGAGTTCAGGGCATGTCAGCTAACAGTAGACGCTCTCTTTTAATATATTACCTAAGCAACAGTGACAGAATCTCTATTTTCCACAGGGAAGGCTTCTTTACTGACTTGGAAAAGGAGTTGGTGGAGAGGGAGAAATGGGAAGGGGGCAAGGCAAGGTAGGAGGGGACAAACTGGTGGGCAGTTTGTTTCATGGAAGAAGAAGAACATCATTGTCTTGCTCCAACCTGTGAAGCAGAGGCAAGCCAAGTAGATCCTTGGTGCTGGGACTAGAGTCCCTGGAACCTGGCTCACCTTTATCATTTAGCCTGCTCTTTTCTGTAGAGAATCCAAATCCTCACTTAAATGACAGGAACTTTGTTATCTTACATTATTGAAAGCCTACGGGTGGGCCCTACTCCAGGCTTGGTGGATTCAGTGGTTCAGTGATCAAGGACCCAGAACTGCCTTCTTTCCCAGCAAGGTCCTCTCTTGATTGCAAGATGGTTTCTAGCAGCAGTGAAATGCTATTTTTCCGTGTTCAGGTTCAATGGGAGAGACACAGTCTTACCTTTGTTGCTTGCAGTTAGGAAAAAATTTTTCCTAGAAGCACCCTGTATTGGCTCATGGGTCTGAATTGAGTCACATGCCCATTCCTGGCAGTTTGGGTGAAATTACATCATCAGAAGGAATGGATTTGGGGAAGCAACCACCAACTCCAATTACAAAGTCACATTTTCCAGGCATAATCACAGTGAATAACCCAATGCTGTGATGATATACAGTTAGGGAATTAGCATGTGGAATCTCCAGATTTAGCAAATAATATAGGATGCTCAGTTAAATAGGAATTTCAGATAAACCATAGACATAAGTATAAGTTTTTCCCATGTTATGTTTGCTGGTCCCTGAGTTCCAATATTTGGTACAAAACACAGTGGGTCAGGCAAATATTTGACAATGCGAGGTAAAGGATAATAGGAGTTTACAGTGGGCTAGGGACTTAGAACCAAGTTCCAGTCTGAGTCTTGCATTACTTACGTGAGGTTAGCAGAGTGTAGACTGGTTCAAAAGGCAGAGGGGGACAAGGGTGCTTTTCCTCCGTACCTGCCACAGCCAGCATCTGGGAGAGGAAGTGATTGTACCTCCTCACTCAGGGCCCTCATTTACCCTGTCCCCGTCCTGCCCTCTCTTTCCAGGGCCCCGACCGCTGTGGGCAGGCCCTGCTGCAGATTGGGATCAACATGATGGCACTGCCTGGAGGACGCCACGTGGACTCCATCCCCCTGCCGGGTCAGCGGTAAGTCCTGCAGCTGTCTTTCAGGGACAGACCCAGACCTTGAGGCTGCAGGTAGCCCCTTGTCTCCATTCACTGTCCTGGGGAGGAAGCTTAGGACAAGGTCTTGGGGATGGCAGGTTCACTCAGCAAATACGCACGGAACAGGAGCCTGGGACATGGAGGAGTCAGGCATGTCTTATCTTCTAAGGAGCTGCAGTCTAAGATCCAGGCAGGCAATGAAGCACAGAATTGAGGGGGAAATGCTGCTAAGACAGGAGACCCCAGAGGAGGCTAGGTGATCCTACGTAGGCCAGGAGAGTGGAGTCACTCGGGGCCCTCTGGGTTAGTGAAGATCCTATCTGAGCCTCTTGGGATGGTCAGCCTACCCTTAGGTGTCTTCTCCTTCCCACAGAGCACCAAGGGGAAAACTGAGCTCAGAGCTGATCTTTGGGAAGTACTTGTTACCTTGAGTTGGGCAGTAGGGGCACCAGGAGGGTGAGGGAGGAATACACTGAACAGATAAAGCCTGGATGAAGAAGGTGGGAAAAGGACTCAGGGGCACGGAGGTGCCTTCACACAGCTGAAAGGTGGGAGACCAGGCTGGTCCGAGAAGCCAGAACCAGAACCAAAGATCACAGGACCAGGGCAGCAAGTCTGTGGTGACCAACCGATTTGTCCAGGACTGTCCTGATTTTGTCAAAGACAGTCTGTGTCCTTAGAAAATCCTCTGTCCTGGGCAAACTGGGAAGACTGGTCATACTAATACAGTTTTGATCACAAAGAAATTTTGCAACCAGAGTGCTCAGGGCTTCTGCCTTGGTTCTGTATTTCTTTAAAAAATTTATGTATTTATTTTCAGAGAGAGGGGAAGGGAGGGAGAAAGAAACAGAGAGAAACATCGATGTGTGAGAGAAGTATCAATTGGCTGCCTCTCACAGGCCCCCAACCAGGGACCTAGCCCACATCCCAGGCATGTGCCCTGACAGGGAATTGAATCAGCAACCTTTTGGTTTACAGGCTGAAGTTCAATCCACTGAGCCACACCAGCCAGGGCTCCCTCCCTCCCTCCCTCCCATCCATCCATCCATCCATCCTTTTTTCTCTGAGACATTTTCATAGGGTGATACAATCCAAGTAACCCTGGCATGACTGTGAAGTCATCGTTTTGTTTTGTTTTACGTATTGCATGTGTCACTGACATCCTATCTTTACTCTGCTTCTGACCTCCCATCTGAATCACAGGGGATTGCAGCTTCTTATCTCATTCATGATTATAGTGTATTTCATTTTTGAGTTTATATTTTTAAAAAAATGTGTGTTGCTTTTGAAATCATAGGAAATTATTAAATATTTGCAAAAAACCTACTATAACTGGGTTAATTTCTATAAAAGTGTCAGCTTGCTTCCCTAAAGCCATCATTATGAAGAAGTTTGAATCTACAAAATACAGCTCATGCATGTTACTAAGGACTGTTAGAAATGCAGTTAAGAATTTCCTGTGCAGCCTGAGGCTGAGAATAAGGGATGCCATTGGGGCCCAGATATCTTTCCTTGCAGTGTGACTAAGACAGAGGTCAGAGATCGTGAGATACAGACCTGTTGGAATGCGTGTGCGTTTTCAGAGATGGGAACTGGGCTTGGAATGGCTGATGGCCTTTTAGGAGACGAGCGTCATCAGCTTCAAACACGTGACTGCCTGGCTTTAAAGCTAGAATTTTCCTCTCTCTAGCTGTGCAACCTTGTGCAAGTTTCTTAACCCCATCAGCTCCTTGGTTCCCTCATGTATAATAGTACCTGCTTCATAGGGCTGATGTGCAGAGTAAATGAGTTAATATGTCCCAAGTGTCTGTCATGCAGAGAGAAGCAGGGGGGAGGTTGTGTTTATTGAGTGCCTATTGTGTGCCAGGAACACCGTGTGGCTCTTCATGTAGGTGATATTGGGGAATTCTTCCAGGTATTCCTCCTGTGGGCCCTCTTAGCTGACTAAGAAAATAAGAACTCCCAGACAGACACTCTCAGCAGCCTAGTGTTTTAAACCAGGAGAAAGTGGAACTGATCTAGAGGAAGTGGGGTGTTAGTCTTCCCAGCTCCTGTCCCAACCAGGCAGCAGGTCCGTACCTGGGTGGTCAGATGGGCCGGAGCAGCTCTGACGGTAGGACTCTCTGGGACACTTGCCCAGAGCCTCCTGGGTCCAGGGGTGATCAGAGTAGAGCCCATATCGGGGGTGAAAAGCCATCATCACAGGGCAGTTGAGGACAGTGGTTAGGAGTTGGTACTGCCTTGACATGATTCTTGATTCTATTACTTATTAGCTGTAACCTTGGGCTTCAGTTTCTCCAACTATGGAACAAAGATTTTTTACTTATGTCATTGGGTTGTTAGGAGAATTTAAGATCATGTGTATAAGGCACCTGTCTGCACCTAGGAACTGCCCCGTCAATGTTAATGTCTTCAGATGAAGACGAGGTCCCTGGAGTAGAGCGTGTGGGGCCAAGGTACATCAGATCCTGGCGCTCTTTCAAGCCTCTGGGAACCACTGACATCTCTCTCTCCTACTTGCAACCTCCTTAGAAGTTTTGAGGATAAGAGGAAATTAAATCATACAAAAAGGATGTAGAAATTAGGTTTCATTTACCGGTGGTCATCCGAGGTCTGAAAATATTAAATGGAAAATTCCAGAAATAAACAATTCGTAAGTTTTAAATTGTGTACTGCTCTGAGTATCATGATGAAATCTTGTGCTGTCTTCCTCTGTCGCGCCTGGGGCATGAGTCATCCTTCCTTCAGCATCTCCCGCTGCAGACGCTACCTGCCTCTTAGTCACTTGGTAGCTGTCTCAGTTATCATCAGATTGACTGTTAGGGTGCTTGTGAGCGAGAAACTTCTATTTAATGATAGCCCCAAAGCTCAAGAGCAGTGATGCAGGCAATTTCAATATGCTAAAGAGAAGCTGTGAAGTGCATGCTAATGTATCATTAGGGGATTAATATTAGCCTCATGTGATGCCAATGCCCACGTCATTCATTCGCCCCATCACGTAGGCATTTTGTCATCTCACATCACGAAAAGAAGGGTGGGGACAATGCAAGAAGATATTTTGAGAGATTACATTCATGTAACTCACTTTATTATATTGTTATACTTCTATTTTGTTGTTGATCATTTACTGTGCCTAATTTATGAATTAAACTATCATAGTGTGTATGTACAGGGGAAAAAAACAGTATGCCTAAGGTTTGGTGCTATTATTTGTGGTTTCAGACATCTACTGGGGATCTTGGAATATATCCCCCACAGATAAGGGGAGGGAGGTACTCTATTCTTTTGGTGGCAGGATAGGGTTTCTAATTGATGTTGTACAGCAAACACCTTGACAGAAAAATCCCAGACTAACATGACTCCAAGAATTCTAGCATGGAGGCCACAAACGTTGCAACTTGAGAAAATGTTTGTTTAGAATGTCTTCATCCTCACAGGGTGGGCTGCAAAGAGAAGGTGATGTTCCCTTCAGTATATTCACAGCCTGGCATTGGCAGGCTCTCCCAGAACATGGAGGGAATGTAATCTCCATGCCTCCTAACCTGCCAGGTGTGTTCTGGGGGTGTGAACGCGGGCCGCCTTCATGGGGAAGACTCATGTGTATTTACAGGATGTCAGAGGGGTTGATATAGTCACTCTGAGGCTGTATTATGGGTAGATAATAGCAGCCACCTCTTCTTTCCTCTCGTTCCAAGCTGCAGAGGCCTCTCTTATGGGGAGTAACACCTGGTTATTGTCCCCAGATAAATAATTACCATTAGACAATTGATTTATTTCTGTTTTGTGCCACTGGAATTCAATTTCACTCTGTAGTGCCATTGTTCATCTCAATGTACAAAATAAATAAATGCTGTCAAGTTGCGTGGGGTCATCCGGCAGCCTGGGTGAAGCATATGGGTTAGGTGTGTGGAGTTTGAGACCCTTATGAGTAAATAGCCTCAACAGGACTTTTTTAAGTGCAGTCTCCTGGATGAGAGTAGAGGGCAGGGAGCAACAGCCTCCCAGGCCAGGAGTTAGGATCCCATGCTGAACCGGCCTGGGCCTCAGGAGCGGATACAACAGGGTTTGCAACTTTGACTTGCATCTGAATCTTCTGGGAAGGTCTCATGTTTAAAAATAGTAATAAAATAAGCAAGCCAAAGTACAAAACCCTACTCTTGGAAACTTGAATGTGGGCCTACGTGGTGAAAGTTTATAAGGCCTTGGAATTGGAATTGGGCTTGAATCCCAGCTATACTTCCTACCAGCCGTGTGCCCTTGGCTGGCCCTCAACCTGTCTAAGCACCAATTTTATCTTCTCTAACAGGATAACAGTGATCATTGCTTGTGTAAGTGCTGGGCATCAGGAGGGAAGGTCTCTCTAGGGCCCAGGGTCCTTGGCAGTGTATGACCCCCACTTCACCAGGCCATCCTGGTGACAGTAACCAGCCCTCCTTCCATCCCTCAGTCGTAGAACACTTGCAAGCTAAGGTCCAGATACCTCCCTGGAGGTTAAAGGATTTATTGGTGGAGTGAAGATGGCAGGAGATCAGCTCTCTGGAGAGCAGGAGACTGTGGCTGCCATGTCTCTAGCTATCTTTGTTTCCCTCTCTGGCCTCTGGACATAAGGGCGGGCTGCTGGGACCTAGCCTTGATGATCAGCCATGGTGGTCAACTTGTTGGTACCTATCTGCACACTCCCTCTATCATTACACATGGCTCTTGTTTTCTGCAGGGATCCTGATGGCATAGTTCTTTCATTAACTATCTCTATGGATAGGATCCTGTGGATGGGTTGGAGGCCAGTCTGAGGACACACAGAGCTGAGTTCAGTCTTCCTCTCCTTCACTCCTTTTCCTTCCTTCCTTCCTTCCTTCCTTCCTTCCTTCCTTCCTTCCTTCCTTCCTTCCTTCCTTCCTTCCTTCCTCCCTCCCTCCCTCCCTCCCTCCCTCCCTTCCTCCCTCCCTCTCTCCCTCCCTTTCCTCCCTCCCTCCCTTCCCCCT